ACCCTTTTCTGATGAAGGGTCTAGGCCCGAAACGTCAGCCTCTCTGCTCCTATGATGCTGCTTGGCCTGCTGTGTTCATCCAGCCCTGCACCTTATGTATAATTGGTGATGGTTTTAACAAGTTTTCAGAGGATTCAAAAGATATAGAAGCCAGAATCCAACATTTTGTTCTAATTGAGCTAATCACTCAAACCAGGCATAAATAAAGTCTGTTTCATTTACTGACCCATCAGTGTTCTGTGCAAAATTGAAACACATTGTTGGGTACCATATAAATGATGGAATTGGCTAATAATAAAAATCAAAGTTACATAAAACATATATTAAGCTAATTTACATTCTTCGTTCTTTATTATGTAACAGAGTAATGGTACCTCAAGTGATCAAAATAAACTCAAATTTACATTATAGTTAGGGCTTTCAGATAAAACCTCCCTCCCAATTTGAACAATGGCCCAGCATTTATTGAACTTGCTACTGTTTATATTTAGGATTTAAGAACAATCATTGTTGATAGAAATATTTTAAAAAATGATGTCTGGTTCCCAGTTAAAATACGAAGTGAACCTATGTAGTGAATTTGGTTTTGATGATACCACAAAATGAATAACAATGAATCATAGCTATTTACTCCTTTGTACTAAATTTGTTTTTAATTTGAAATGTACAGACTTGCCTTGAGACCATCTGTCTTCTGAATTCTGCCTCTTGCTATGGTTGGCAATGGCACAAAAACTTGTTATTTTATGGTGCACACATTTTTGTTTTTGGAAATGCATCTGAAAAAGTTGAACAGTTTGCATTTCTTCTGCTAACATTTTATACAAAACAACTCTATTTCTGTTTAATGGTGAAAATTGGTTTCCCAGAAGGTTAACCCTGATAACTTCTTACTGGAAATTTCAAACACCATCTTGGAATAATAGATAGTCTATGTGATCAATATCACATTTCTAATTCTGGGAGCTTGCTGTGTACAAATTGGCTGCCTCCTTTTGACGCATCAATGATTGCAGTTAAACTTGCTATAAAGTAATTTAGGATGCCCTAATGTTGTGAAACATACTATCTAATTGCAAGTATTTTTCCTCCTTTTATATATACTTAGCATCCTAGGATAGGAGATAGAATGCCTGATTATGGTGGCAGCCATGCAGTCAGTGGCTACTTCTGGGTAAGCACTCCCTCATCACTTGGAATGGCCTGCCAAAGACAAGTAACGTCTATACAATAGCGTTTGTTTTCCATTCTCAACATATTTGGGTGTGTGGGTGATATGTGAGGTACTGCAGAAAAGAATATAAGAAAAATACTACTAGATATCCAGATACATCCTGACATCAATCCTTCATATTTTAAACCCCAGGAGTTTTGACATACCTTCATTGAAGGAAACCAAGGTCTGAACATGGGATAAAGAGGTATGTGGCTAACCTTAATTTCAAGAGGCTTTTATAGATAACATACTGTGATGGCAGCACAAAAATCACCAGCTGATCTAGAGTGGAGAAATTAGAGCCCTTCAGCTTTAAACACTGGGTACTGAGAGAGAAGTTTACAAGGTGTTTAATTTGTGTGGATAAGATTAGTCCAAGAGACTAGAATAAATGTATAAATTCAAAGTTTATTAAGTTGTCAGGAAGCACTTCATACAAAGATTTATGACTTTGAATGGTCTCAGGATGGATCGACTACAGGTAGGAAAAGCTTCATAACTATTCAATGGAAGTTAACTGAACTAGTATGTCCCTTACTGTGAGTAGATGATCAAAGAGGGGCTCACTCACCTTTGTCTACCTTGAGTTATTATCACCAAATGTGTTGATGAGAAGCAGC